GATGCTGCTGCCCTAATCGCGGGCTGAACTTGAACCGCAGGCCGTGTCGTCATGACACATGGAACCTGACCAACGTGAACTCGCTGCTCTAGAGTACGGGGGCGGCAGTCTGAGTTCCTCCTCCGATCTGTGAAGTAGCTGGTGCAACCGGAATCAACCCCGCCTGAGCCAATGTACCAAACATGCTCAGGAATTGTGCTAAAGTCTCCTGAAGTATGGGGTAACAGCAGGCGCCTCTGGTACCTGTCCCTCAACCGGAGATACTGGCGGCTCCTCAACTGCTGCTCTAGTAGGTGCCCTAGCTGCGGCACGTGCTCCTCTTCGGCCTCTGTCCCTGCCTCTACTTCTTGCGGCACCTACTCCGGGGCAGTGTCATCAGTAACTGCAGCTCGTGTCCTCACCATTTATGAGAGAATAGAATGATACAAGCTCAAACCCCAAGATCAATAAACTCGCACGATAGGAATGAAAGAAGTAAAACTATCCTAATAGTTTCGTAGCCTCTCGAAGATAAGTACAGAAGTCTCCGTACCAATCCACAAGACTCTACTAGACCCGTTTATGACTCGTAGAACCTATGAACCTAGAACTCTGATATCAACTTGTCATGACCCAAAATTCCCTCCGTAGGATGTCGTGATGGCAGCTAGTCTTAGGGACTAGGTAAGCCTAACATTTACTGAAATAATAACAATATTAAATAGCAACTGACAAATGCGAAGTAGAAATCTCTATACAAGACTTACAAATTTCAAAATCGATAATACAAGTCATAAGTTCTACTGGGTTTGCTAGAAAACCTATAAAATACAATTGTTTCGAAGTAGAGATAAAACAGTACAAGTACAATATCAAAAAGTGACTCCGAGGCCTGCGAACACGATGGCAGGTTTACCTTGAGTCTCCAGAGCTCGACCAGCCAGCTAATAATCAACAACAACCGTGGCACCTGGATTTGCACAAAAATTTGCAGAAGTGTAGTATGAGTACACCACAGCGGTACCCAGTAAGTATCAAGACTAACCTCAGTGGAGTAGTGACGAAGGACAGTCAAGACACCTACTGGACTAAACAACCTGAATAAGTATGTAGATGAACTAACTGAGAACAATATTAATGTAAAGCTAGACAGGATAAGGAATACAAAACAGTACTGGCAATGGTACACTAATACAACAATAGGCAACAAGAAGTTGTCAGGTAATAATGTTATAGAGTTTGATCCCAGTCCAAGTCCAGGGAAAAACCAAGTAAATGGAAAGCCAACAACAACTCAGTAAAAATAACCGTTTTCACACCAAGCCTGTCCAAGCATTTCCACGAGGTACCGAACCTCCTAATCACAGCTCACGGGTCCCAATTCATGAACCCTAATCACTTGGAATATGGTGCCCACATTTTGATTCATAACCGCACGGACGACTCACGTGCCCACAGGATAACTCTCACACAGAAGGCAAGCACACGGGAGTACATGTAAATATTCAACAACATCGGGATTCATCTTCTTACATCGATATGGGTGATTTATTAACGTGTATGCTTGTGCAAGTGTTCTATCACAATTCAAGTCAACAAGTAATAGTAGAGACAATGAATGACACATAAGAAACGATCACCACGAAATGTATACAGTATAGCTCACACAGGGTAGGAACACCACTACGCAAATAACAACAATAACAATGCCCCTAAGCCATCATAAGTCACCACAAATTATTCCCTGACATAGCCCACCTTGTCTCGCCACGTGCGTAATAATAAAGTAACTGCCCGCTTTGTCTCGCCACTCGTGCATAATAATATTCCTACCTTGTCTCGCCACATGCGCAACCCACATATATAGCCTACCTTGTCACGCCGCATGTGCAAATATCAATAGTAATAATAGCATGGCAGAAACCTCGTGCAACACCCGAACAAATCCTCCCAACAATATCACGTGCCAAAAACACAACACAATAGAATGGCCTTCACAACATGTGCCCATATTCCACAACATTTCCTCTAAACAGTTTCAATGCCACAACCGTGCATAGCCCTCGACTCAACAACTGAGTACAACAGCAACAACCACAACAATACACGAGAATACGACAAGTAAATCAACCCAAGAGCTTTAGAACACAAGAAGCAGTAGAACGAGCTCAGAAAGAATAAACAAAATAGAGAATATTAGTCTCAATAAGGGAGAAACAATACGTAACAAATGATTCCACAAAAGTATAATTTGACAACAAGGGAGATAGCAAGAGTCAATAATTCCAAATAAGGATGAGGCAACGGGAAAGATAATCAAAACCTCAATTAAGGATAGACAATTACATAAGAGATAATAATAGTTCCAATTAAGGATAAGCAATTAGGGAAGAATAGCATGGCAATAGAAGAGGTAACAACTTCAGTTAAGGCACATAAAAGTCAAATAGGCAATAAAAGTAGATCATGAAGCAATTAATTCTAATTAAATCACATAAAGATGAAAATAGTAAATGGGAAACTTAATCATAGCAAAACCACTCCATATGTAATGAACTTAAGAGCATAAGAGCCCTAAAAGGTCAACCTCCCACAAATAAGCCCGAGCACATACTCGTCACCTCGCGTACACGGACTTCACATGACACAATTAGCATAAAAGACTCAAATATAGTTCCCCCACACGAAGTTAGGCAAGATACTTACCTCAAAAAAGATAGACTGTTACTCTAAAATAAACTTCTCGAGTGAAATAAACTCCGGACGGTTCAAATCTAGCCAAAATAACTTCAAAGCACAAATAAAACTCATAAGAAACTATTTCGGATAATAAAGCCTCGATTATTTAATTAAAATTAAAAAGTTAACCTCCGGCCCCGCACCTCAGAACCCGACCAAAATTACAAAAATCCGAACGCCCATTCGATAACGAGTCCAACCATACAAGAATTACTCAAATCCGACCTCAAATCGCCTTTAAAATCCCTAAAATTTAGTCTAAGAAGTTTTTACAATTTTTCTCCAAATTTCCAACTTAAATCACTAATTAAACGATGAAAATAACAATAGATTCGTGTAATATAGCCAAAATCGAGTTAGAATCACTTACCCCGATGACTTTCTTGAAAAACCCACGAAAAATTACCACAAACCGAGCTCCCAAAGTCCAAATGTGAAATAATACCCTAACCCTCGATTATATAGTACACAATCTGTGTGGTCGCACATCCCAGGTTCTGCGGCCGCAATTCCAAATTGTGTGGTCGTACTTCAACGGTGACTACACTTCTAGGCTTTTGTAAATTGACCATAACTTTATGTATAAATGTTCAAATAATAAATTATTTAACTTTTTGTAAACTAGATTCAAAGGGCTACAACTTTTATTTTTGGATCATCTCTAAATTCCTTATAGATTAAAAGATATAAGCTTCCGAATCAGACCATCGAACCTGCAGATTTTCTCCTTTCTACGACCGCAAGAGGATTTCTGCGGTCCGTAATTTTCCTCTACGGTCCGCAATTTTCCTCTAAGGTCCGCACCTGAGGCTTTGCCTCATCGCTCCAAAATGTGTCCCCGCACTTCAAAAGTTCCAGAACATCATCATAGTGCCGAAATGCCCAAACTCGTTTCAAAACTCACCTCGAAACACACCCAAAGCCCCCCGGGACCTCAACCAAATATACCAACAAGTTCTAAAATATAACGCGGACCTGCTCGAGGACTCAAACCACATCAAATAACGTTGAAACTATAAATCGCACCACAAGTCGATCTCATGAATTTCCAAGTTTTCCAACTTTCAAAACTCGTGCCGAAACATATCAAATCAACGCGGAATGATGCCAAATTTTGTATGCAAGTTCCAAATGACATAACGGAGCTAATCCAACTGTCGGAATCGCATTCCGACCCCGATATCACCAAAGTTAACTCTTGGTCAAACCTCTCAACCTTCCAAAGCTTCAACTTTTTTAAATTTCGCCGAAATGCTTCAAATTACTCTACGGACCTCCAAATCCAAATTCAGACGCACGCCTAAGTCCAAAATCACCATACGAAGCTATTGAAATAATAAAAATGCCATTTCAGAGTCGTCTATATAAAAATCAAATTCCGGTCAACTCTTACCGCTTAAGCTTCTAAAACAAGAATCCTTCTTGAATACCATGTGCAATACCATGGGAATGGTCTGCATTTTTAAGTTGCTTCCAAAATCTTTTCAATTGAAATCCAAATTCATAAAGAAGTTTTTGACCCCTTGAGCCTCATCTAATTCTGAATTAAATTCCATGCCTCTATAGCATTTTCTTGAATAACTCAACAGCAGACTTTACATCACTATCTTTAGATACTCAGAAATCATATAATTGAAGGAGAGTTTATACCTGTACTTAACATAAAGACCAGAATCAAAATTAAGCCAAATGAAGAACTCTTTGGAGGAATCAATGATTACAATGTTTGTTAATCATCTTTTAATTATGACAACGGAATGATTAGAGTCACTTGCCATTGTCACATGTATTAATAGAGCAACTAATAATAGAAGAAAATTACAAGTTGGATAACTATAACCAAATGTATTTCATGCTTTAAAAGAATGAGTGAAACTAATTAAGTATGAAAATGGACATGGAACATGACAACTGTAACGACCCGGCCGGTCGTTTTGAGAATAAGCATTCTTATCGGCGGCTTAAGGTCTCGAGCAGCCTCGTATAGTATGTTATAACTTAAAAATGCAGACCATTCCCATGGTATTGCACATCGTTTCAGAGTGCTCCAAATCCTTGCACATATTATAGTAATCCTTGCTATTCTTAGTAGCCAATAAGGCATCAATAGAACTCGTTACCTCATCAGTTCCATCGGAAATATTATTCAACGCCGTGATTGTGGAAATTTCGGATGAACTATTAACGTGTTTCAGCTTCTTGATGGCGCAGAGAACATAATCTCTACAGTCTTGGTCGAACTTGTAAAGAATAACCTTAGAAAGCTCGTACTCCTTCATCAGTCAATGTCCATCTTTCTGATCTCCAGGGTAAAACTTTTTATTCTTGTAACACAAACTCGTCTTGGATCCAATATTAACCACTGAAGATGAGTTCCCCATATTTTTGTAGTGAACTGGTTTGCCCTTGTTGTCCTGTTTCCAAGTTCCCTTGTTTCCGACAGAAGGATGATACCTCGCATTGCTTTTCTTCTTCAGCTTTGTGATAAAATAGCGATAACTACTATTGTCCTCATCATCACCACAGGGTACTCCATGTTCATATATTTCCCAGGGTTCTTGTTTGCCATAGACATCAACGTTAGTGGTAATAAATCCAGCATCATACATCTCTTGTCCAGCAATGAATCTCAACAAGAACGTAAGTCCTTCTGAATCTGTCGGGCGAAAACGGAAACCCTCCTCGGGATTTAAGTGTTCCATGGATTAATCTCAACAAGAACGTAATTAACTAGCTAGTTCAGAATAACAATGAATGAAACAGAACAAGGAAGAAAGGGAAGGATTAATGAGATTTTATAGGTTTTCTTTAGGAAGTTAAGTGAGCAACAAGTAGGTTCTGTTCGTTAGTTATGTTTCTTCCACCCAAAGTCACAATATGGTAATTAATTTCATTTTTACTAATAAATATTGAAAGTTTCTTATATTCATGTGAATTTAAAGATACCAGTTGTTAATTTAGTTTCTTTCGCTCAAAGCAACACTTAAAAGGCTTAAGCATATATGGAAACTTTAATTTTGACTTCAAACGAGAATTAAAACACCAAAATATTCTAGTTTCTAATTGTGTTAATTCCAAAAAATAACTTAATGTATCCAGCTTAGAAAGTATATATCGGAGTTAGTCATCTCTGGTTCAATCAAATGTAATCTAGAGTTAATTATTTCTAGCTTAGTAAATACTAATTAGAGTTAATTCTTTCTCGTTAAGAGGCAGGAAGGTAGTATTATATATATACTGAGATTTTATAGGTTTCCTTAGGAGATTAAGTGGGCAACAAGTTAGGTATTCGTTGGTTAATTATATGGTAACTTACTTCATATTTTTACAAATATATATATATATATATATATATATATATATAGAAAGATTCTTAAAAAAAGAACATATATATGGAAAATTTGTGAGTGTTCACGTGAATTTTGATACCCGGGTGCTCAGTTTCCATTTAGGAAATTAACTACTTACTTTGCACAAAGTTAATTTAATTTCTTCCGCCCAAAGCAACACATGTAGAAAGTTTTGATGTGAAAATCCTTTTTTGATATTGAAAAGATAAAAGAAACCCTTTTTTCCCCCAAATATACATGGAAACTTTTTTCTTTTCCTACGTGTATATGGTAATTTGATATGGACCCTTTTTTTCATCCAAAAACAAAAATATTCTTCTAGTTTCTTGTGTGTTAATTCCAAAATTTAACTTCATATATGTATCCAACATAGCAAATATCGGAACTAGTTATGTTCAATAAAATGTTGGCATGAGTCACGCATGGAATAAGCTATTAAGGTGTAAACCTTTGTATATCTGATAATAAGAGAAGTAGTTTTTCTTCCTTAATTATAGAGTAAGAATGTTAAGTATTAATGTAGAAACTAGTGTTAGAACCCGTGCGATGCGCGGATAATTTGGCAGGATATTAATCTTATAAAATTATGATCCAATATATCATATTATTTTAATAAATATTACTAGTTGTTATTTTATTTTTTAATGTAGTGTGCAGAAATATAACGGAATCTATACAAAAGTTGATCAAATAAATTGTTTGTTCCTTATTTATTCTTTATTAAAACCCATTGACTTTAAATAACGTAAGGGTTCAAGTCCCTCTATCCCCAGAAAGACTATTTCACTCTCCAACTATTTATCCGACCCTCTTTCTAAATTTCATATCTTTCTCATGCATTCTATTCTTTTAGAAATGGATTTTAGCATAAATGACTTTCTCTTATTACGAGTCTTGTGATATATAGATACACATAGAAATGAACATCTTTGAGCAAGAAATCTCTAGTTGAATTATTTCCTATCAATATCATTATTCATACTAAAACTTACGAAGTAATCTGTTTGAAGATCGAAGAAATTCCTTGGCTTTGATAAAAAAAAAAATTAATCTATTTTTGTCCTTTTAATTGACATAGACCACAGTTCTTTAATAAAATGAGGATACTATATTGGGAATAGCCCGCATAGCTCAATTGGTAGAGCAGAGGACTAAATATCCTCGTGTGACCAGCTCAAATATGGTTCCTGACACATTGTCGCGCCCCGTTTTCTCGCGAAAGTAGGCTTCGACATGTGACAATTCTTTTAAAGAAGGTGTTAAAAGAGAAGAGTCGCCACCTAACGATTTTGAAGGTGCGTTAGGGCACCTACTTGTAAATAACTCTGTTTTAATTAGTCTACGTCGTCAAAGATCGAGTAAGGGCTCAAATTACCTCAAAGAGAAGGTGTTAGAAACTCTTCGAGGTCCACACCTGTGGTTCCCGGACGAATTTTAAACTATATGGGATTATTAAATGATTAAGCTAAATTATAGTTACTAAATGACTAATCATGCAAATAATTAGTTAGGATATTAAGAGAAAGTGTTGAAGAAATAAAGGACGAAGAGAAAAGAAAGTAATTTGAGAAACAAAATAGCATTCAGCATGGAAAGTGGGATAACTTGGACGGAAGAACATTTTATTAACAAAGAAAGTGATACGATATTCTATTATAAAGTAGTGAAGTAGTTTTATACAATAAACTATATCTTTTATTTAAATACTCAACTGAGAAAGAGTAAAGTAGTCCCAAGCATACTATAACAAAATGGTTAAATGTAAAGTAATAAAATAAGTCAAAGCTTGCGACGAAATATTGGATTAGAATAATTAAAATACAAAAAAATTATCAAAATAGTATGTCGATGCATGAATGAACGAAAGTAAGAACAAAACTTAAACTACTGTTTTGAAACCCAAATGCTGAGATACTTTCAACCCTTCCAAAATCCAAAAGACGCTTAAGAAAATAATTTAAGAATGTGTACGCCAAATGAGCCCAATATTCTAATAAAGAATCTGCTTACAGATTAAAAAAAGTACACTGAAAGCTTTATATATCTTCAAGGGAACCAAATTACTATTTCAAAGTTACTAAGATTAAATAAAAAATCTAAAACAGACAATTTTGTTTTTTTTCACTTATATCCATATACATAATTCACATAAAAGATACATGGTTCATGATTATACCAACTAAAGACATACAGGGCATTCATACAAAGAATTCTTCAGGTAGTAAAAATATAACAATCAAATGGAGAAACCTTTAATCGGAAGAAGAATACTGACCTTTTGAAGTAATCTAAAGAAAATCATACCAATTTGTAGGATACCAACTCGCAAATCCTTTTTCTCATTGCTAATAAAATATCGTTTTACTATGTATTTGCAAATCTCAAGTTTGTCAGAGAAGGGGGCACGAAACGGGATAGACTTCTTCTTCTCCACGGCAAAATTGCTTCCGGTGAATTTCCATGATAAGCGCAACTCAAAAATAAAAATAAAAAGTTGGTAAAAATGTGCGCCACCTTAGAGGCATGGCGCTATTACAATTGTTAATCACATGCCGTTAACCTTAATGGCGACTTTAATATGAGGTCAAGATTAATACATAAGCACGTAAAGCAAGTAGTTTGACTAGCCAGTCGCAAACAAGATCCAATCACATAACAAGCAAGCAATTATTGCACATTTAAAGAAATACTTGGTGAAGTGAAGTAAATGAAAGCAGGCACCAAATTAGAAACAAGTTTACATAATAAATTGACATTATTTAGCCTAAAAAACTTAATTTATCAAGAGTAAAAGTTAAAAACAAAGACCAGCTAGTCATTTTGAAAGAAGGGCCCCAAACCGAATTTTAAGGACTCAACCTCATAGTCCTTAACCTCCCAATAATTATCAATTAACTTGGAGGGGATTATATGTAACAAGGTAAACAGAAACTCGCAAATCGACCACTTATACAAACGAAACCCATTCATGAAAAGAAATTTTTAAAAGGGTTTCGACATTGATTTGTTCAAGCAGGATTTTGATACAGATAGTAATAAAGCCCTCGTGGTAAATATTCGATTACGCAATTAAAGACTCAAGTTATGAACATGGAGTAAGGAACACATACTAAATACTTACTACTTGTGTTCCAAACAAGGACACGTCGAAGGCATCATGGAAGACTACTCTATCCAAATGCGGGATCTTAGGGGTGAATAGAGAAAGCCTCAAGATAGTTCACAACCTCTTCAAATAAATTTGCCCACATAATAACAGCCAAGCTAACACCTTAGATAAGGCTAAACTAAAGAATTTCCTAGTTGAGAACAAATTCCAAGAGAAAAGAGAGAGAACCATATGCAACATTCATATTAGCCAAACATAAAGTCGTTTTTTTTTATTACCTATTTCTCATTTAAACTAAGAAACAAGATGTCAAGAAGATCCCTTAAATAAAAGCTTAATTCCTACGATACATGTTCTAGATAGTAGCCTATTTGACTTCTCTTTGACCTCATTAGTAATTAGACTACTAAATACATGCATCTTAATATCAGAAACCGAGCCATCAAGAGATGATTCTAGGCAACGCTTATCAAAATATCCAATATGGACAAAAACATGTTCATATCCAAATTTAAATACTTCACATGCTATGTATTACACCCAAAAATATAGCCATGTATCCTAGCCATTATTAAGCATTGAAATGTAATGTCCACCAATATTATGCCATTGCCTTCAATAGAAAAGACCACTGAACATATAGCACAGACACTTTTTTTTGAAATCATAAACTTAATTCAAATAATATGGTTAAATTAATTTCAGATAACCACAAAAACACATTGCAACTCTTTGAACCAGTTGAATTCTATTTGAAATCAAGATGCAACAATCGTCATATTAAGTCACATAATCACTTAATCTTCGCTTTTGCAAACGAAAACAAATAATAATTTGAACACACATATCATACCAAACATCAAAAGAAAGGTAAAGAATGGACCTTTGTGGGAAGGGGTGTGAGAGTCTGTAGAAAAGCCTCCAAATAGTAGCATTGCTAAGTCAGAGTAAACGCCAACTATAAGCTCAATAGAGAGGGAGTCATCAACTAGTAACCGGGTTCGTGCGCTTCCAAAGCAGAATGCAATTGTGCATAGCAGCGATAATAATAAAAGGATTAAAAAAAAATCAGCAAACACGAACAAGTGACAACCACGGATAGCAATAAACGAGTGAAAGAAAGTTTGTATCCGATCACCAAAATGATCAAGTTTCTGCCTTGGCTTTCAGCAGACAGAAACAAACAATGGCAGAAAACCGAAACAGAGAGTTGAGCCGTGAAGAATGTAATAGCAGTGTCTAG